GGGCGGACGCTAGTACTCTCCGAGCTAAACCAACTTCATAAATATGCAGGTGTGCAAGCTCGGATAAACTTCCAGCAAGTATTCGTTCGTTTACAGCCTTGATTCAAGTTGCTTTGGAAAAAAAATGGGATACAATTTCTCAATCGGTCTCATTTGATTACAGAGTTACATATGGACAACAGAAATGCTACAACATCAACCAAAATTCTCTTTAAGGAATTAAAAAGGTTGCCGTGTCGAAGGTTCCCGCATTATGCGTCGTGTCACGTCACTGTCGCGTCTAGATCCACGGCGGTAGCCCTGGCCATGTCACCGGTCAGATCGTCGCCACGTCATTCCTCTCGTCGCGCCATCATACATAACACGGCATAGACGTTTTGCCACGCTAGAAAAATAGACGCGACAAAAAAAAGTTAGATTAAAAAAAATGATATTAAATTTAAAATTAATTTAAAAAAGTATTAAAAATAAAAAAATCCCCGTAGAAACAAGAACCTTCGCGTGGCGGGCGAGGAGCCCACATGTCATGTCATGGGAGTGTTAGGTCGAGCAAGGGCCCGCCCGGGCCGAGGAGCGCCCGCCGACATCGCGATCGCCACCGAGTCACCACACATGTCAGCCTGTTCGATTGGCTGTGGCTTCTCGTAAACGATCGTAAATTTCCAACTAAAATAATATTTTTCTTTCACATAAACCAACCAGTAATATTTCTTCATTAACCAAACGAACCAGTCAACCAAAGGCTGACAAACAAACAGAGCAGGGGAGCCGCCCTGGCGTTGGCTGTGTCATCCTCTCCTCTCGTTCTCGTCACCCCTCGTCCATCGCGGAGCAGAGCGAGCAGCCGGCAGCGGACCTCCAGGGAGCGCACCGCGGACGGAGGCCAGCGAAGATGCCCGGGCTCACGGCGCCGTCCGACTACGCGGAGGAGCCGCCGCGTCACCCGGACCTCAAGATCAACGCCAAGGTCAGCGCTACGCCCCCCTCTCCCCGCGACCCACCCCCTTGAGGTTCGAGAGTGATTGGGTGGGTGCCTTCTGGCCTGTGGTGTCGCCAATCGCGCGGATTCGTTCGCGGCTCTGGCTTGGCCCGGTCCAGGCCGGCCGGATGCGTGCGAGGCCTTTTACGGCGCCGGCGCGTTGGCCGATCAGACCGCCGCCGACCCGCCGTTGGTGCTGTGCAGCAGCGGGTAGCGCTCCGCTGCCCGTATGCGTCAGGTACACGTGCTGTTACTACGCAATGATTAGCGAAGCGTGGTGAGCACTGACCACTGAGCACGAGCAGCGAGCAGGGTTTTTTCTAGTCTCTGTCGTTTGAAATTAGGCCCCAGTTTCTATGCCTTTCCGGCCGCAGTCCCACGGCACTTGGATGTTGTATAATTGTGTTCTCTGTACGCCGACAGAATGTTGCAGCGTATCGGTTGCCGAGTGTCTAGATTATCAAGAGCTTTGTCTGAATGAGTTTTTATTTTAGTAGGAATTATTCCTGAACTATCCAGTAAGATACAGAAATGGGAGTAATCTCGGAGCATCATGCTGTTTGCAGGAGCCATTCAATGCTGAGCCTCACCGATCGGCACTAGTTGCATCTTACATCACCCCAGTGGATTTCTTCCTCAAGAGGAATCATGGACCCATCCCTAAAGTCGAGGACCTCTCAAGGTTTCTTAGCACAAACTGTGAATTTCCATTTATCATTGTGATCTGTTACAGTTTACCAAACACTGACAGTTTATATGAATGGATTGACAGATACACTGTTTCCATTTCTGGTCTCATCAACAAGTCTATTCAGCTATCCATGGGTGACATTTGGTAACGTTTTAATGTTTTTTTCCTAGTGTCTAATAATGTGACATGATTGGTCTTTGCTCTTGAGTAAAGAATTGACATAAAACTTTGCATTCAGGGCTCTTCCAAAGTACAATGTCACGGCAACTTTACAGGTTTCATATATATATGCTTGCCCAACTAATCATTCTGCGATGCCTATGTGTTAGTATGGCTAATAACCTAAGCGTATAACAATATGATCCTGACATTTACAGTGTGCGGGAAACAGGAGGACTGCGATGAGTAATGTACGAAAAGTGAGAGGTGTTGGGTGGGACATATCTGCTCTTGGAACTGGTAAGATATGAGTTCAGAACTTAAGTGGTGCCTTTCATTTTGATGTTGTAGAAATGAAACCCATCGGTGGTATGCTCGTTTTAATGCTCAAGTGGTGGGTGCACGTGCGAAATCTTATGAGTTTTAGACTAGAAATAAGTCCTTGCTGTTTCTGAGTACTTTGTGAGTATCAAACTAGCAGTCCATAACATATGGTTTCTCCTACAGTCCAAGGCGTGAGTGTGTGGTGTTGTATGGGGTTTCTTTCCCCCTTTTTATTCTTCTTAATATAATGATACGCAGAACGCAGTTCTCCTGTGTGTTCGAGAAAAAGAAAAAGTTAATAACATATGGGCTGGGTATAATGATCACTTGAAATTGAGGGATTTCCGAGAACTGTTTGCGTTTTACTATCCCTAGAACTGTATCTTTCACTTCCCTTCCGGACTCCTAATTTGTAGTCTCGAACAGACAACCTTTCCTTTTCACATTCCATGTTTTTTCCTACTGGTTAATGACAGTATCATACAGAAAATACTGAAAAATTCCGTGTTCTGATTGTGCTCACCAAAATATGCTTGTAGATACTACTATACTAGCACATGCATTTGCTTGTTGACTAAAATGATTCCTAGTAGTAGTATCTACTATCTACTGATGTTTTGTATGATTCCAGCAACTTGGGGAGGTGCCAAACTATCTGATGTCCTTGAGCTAGTTGGAATACCAAAACTCAGTTCAGTCACATCTCTAGGAGGGAAGCACGTGGAATTTGTTAGCGTTGACAAGTGTAAAGTGAGTGTGTTGATCCTTATTTCCTGGCAGACACTTTTTTGGCAAAGCCTCCTCGCTAATCTCATATTGTTTTTGTGTCAGGAGGAAAAAGGTGGTCCTTATATGGCATCTATTCCATTAAAGCAGGCAACTGATCCTGATGCTGATGTATTACTTGCATATGAAATGAATGGAGAGGTGGACAAAAAATAACTTTTCTTTGTATATTTGAAATTCAATTTTACGTAGTCTCGATATGATGTTTAAGTTATTCTTCAAAAAGTAGTTTCTTTATTAATGCCTTTGTGCCATTCCGCTATTTGTTTCCTTTTCAGTTTTCTTTAATCTGGATGTCTTTTAAATTTTCTTGTTATAAACTACCATGTGTAGGTACTCAAACGGGACCATGGATACCCACTCCGGGTTGTTGTACCTGGCGTTATAGGTGCACGCTCTGTAAAATGGTTGGACAGTATCAACATAAAAGAGGAGGAATGCCAGGTTTTCTGAAACTATGAGTGCAATGCCTTCTCGTCTTTATTTTCTATGTTCAAAACTGACTGCTATTCTCAACCAGGGCTTTTTTATGCAAAAAGATTACAAAATGTTTCCACCAACCGTTGACTGGGACAATATTAATTGGTCAACTAGAAGGCCACAGATGGATTTCCCTGTGCAAGTATGCTGCATCATTGATTCTTCATTGCTCATATGTGGTGCTAGGTTTCTCAAGAACTTATGTTCACTTACTTTGATCATGTAGTCTGCTATCTGTACACTGGAAGATGTAGATGTTATCAAGGAAGGAAAGGTCAGTCTGTTTCCATAACAATGCATACTCTGAGACTGAATCCTGTGTAAGTACCATGGGCAAATTTCAAATAAATCTTCTTCACACACCGCTATGCTTACTCGCTGCAGGCTAGGATTGCTGGATATGCACTTTCAGGTGGTGGCCGTGGCATTGAGAGAGTGGATATATCTGTTGATGGGGGTAAAACCTGGGTTGAGGCTCGTAGATATCAGAAAGATAATGTGGCGTATGTATCAGATGGACCTCGAAGTGATAAGTGGGCTTGGGTTCTCTTTGAGGCTACAGTAGACATACCAGCAAATGCTGAGATCGTAGTTAAGGCGGTAAGTGAAATCCATCTCGTCCCACTGTTTCACCCAACTTAAAACAGTTTATGAGAATGCACCTTGTGAACTACAGGTGGACTCAGCTGCAAATGTTCAGCCTGAAAAGGTCGAAGACATATGGAATCTGAGAGGAATCCTCAACACATCTTGGCATCGGATCAAAATACAGAACTCTTCAGGAAGATCTAAGTTGTGAAATTAAGTCAGAACTCTTCAGGAAGATCCAAGTTGTGAAATTAAGTACGCTGCTGACAACTTGGAGCAAGCGTGGCGGTGACTCTTGCGAGTCTTACCATTATACCAAAATAATGGTCATGTTCGCTTGTGTTATAATTCGTACTTTTCAGCTTGTTTTTTAGCCGGAACATTGTTTTTCTCTCACAATAAATCAGCCAGAATAGTATTTTAGCTTGTTTTTTCAGCGAAGCGAACGGGGCCATTAATAAGTCACTTCAACTTTCTGTGTTTCTAGCGTCAGGCTGTGCCACGAGTGTTGGAGCTTTGTTCTATGGGATTTGAGCTCACTTGATTTCTATGTAATGTCAGCTGCTGCTGTTTTTTCGGTAACTGGATAACTGCTGTTATGGGTTGGTCTGATGTCTAGAAATTACAATTGCATTCTGCGTTGAAAATTATGCAGCATAGAACACTTCTTTGGGCAAATGGCAACTCCGGGAAGAGAGGCGCACTTCATGTCGCAGCTAAGAAATACTAGTAAAAGATAAAAAGACGTGAACATAAATATCATCCCTTCCAAGCCGTGGAAATGGAAGAACCAATTTCAGTACGCAATGATACAGTTAGCGGTAACATTCTTCCTAGTATTTACTACAACAGTCCCATACACAAAAGGAATGCAGCTGCCGTGGGACGTGGGCATCAATTATCAGTGATCTAGATCCAAGGAAAACAACAAAGCATTGATATGCCAAATTGCTGACAAGCAATGGATTAGCTATAGCTATACTACTGATGTTGCTAAATGCCGTCCCATTTGTAACTTCTAAAAGTGCTTCCAGCTACCTCATCGTGACCGGTGTTACTGCCCTGCAAAAGCAATGGGAAAAACATCTGGAAATTAGAACCAAGGCTAAATGAATCTGCCGAGGACCCCATGTACAGCAAACACATATGTACTTACATCAGTTGCCATTTGGTCCTTGGTTGAGAACAAGTCCTTCAGCATTTTGTCCAAAGAATCCTTAGCTAATGGAGACTTCTTCACTTCTTTCTGCCCTGATGATTCTACAGAATCCTTAACAGGTGCGGCACCGTTCTGAAGCTGCAGCAATAACAGCAGTCTAGCTTGATCAGATATCTAATCCTAGAACACTACATATCTTCATTGCCGTTCACTAGTTCAGGTAAACAATTGAAATGACAACCAACATCTAGCTTCAAGTTCAGCAAGATTAGATTAACATCCACGAAAGAGTGTCACACCTCTGCATTAGCAGCACCTGGATGCTCTGATGTGTCTCCATTTTGGTTCAACTGACATTCTGCAGCGCTAGAATGCCGCGCGGATTCCTACAGAGCAGCTCGGTCGGACGCGTGTGGAGATCAGAAAACGATGGAGACAATGACGAGAACATGTTGTCTGAGCTGAGCATCAAATCGCCGTGTCAGCACCTCACCCTCACCTGATCCTTGGCGACATCCTGCTGCCACTCCGGCTGGAACTTCTGCAGCAGCAAGGTGAGCAGCTTCTGCAGCTCGGGAGGCACCTCCTCGGGGAAGAGCTTGGGGATGTCGTCCTTGGCGACGTTCTCGTTGACGCACCGCCTGATCAGTATCCTCAGGCACACCAGCAGCTGCAGCAGGGAGATGCCGAAGAAGCAGAGTCGGGAACTGAACAGTCTGAACCTGCACTGCAACGCCCGCGACGCGAGCGATGGCGCAGGGAGGAAACAAGGAAGACAAAGGGTGGGGAAGGGCAGGGGGTGCTGACGGGGTCGAGCTCGGCGTCGGAGGCGAGCTGGAGGGCGTCGCGGGCGACGGTGCGGTCGGCGGCGTCGAGGCCCGTGCGGCGCGTGCGCCAGAGCGCCTGCAGGATGTACTCGACCGACTCCTTGGACCCCGCGCGCGCCAGCAGTGGGAGGTGCACGTGCCCCCACAGCGCCGCCGACGCGCCGCGCTCCCGCTCCATCTCCGGGGTTATGTTCTGCCCCTACCGCCGTCGAAGGGGACGCGCGGTGGACCGGTGGTGGACTGCTGGAAGTGGAAGGTGGAGAGGGAGAAACAGCCCCAAAGGCCCAATTACAGGAGACGGTGTCTTCTTAGTTGTTGAGGCCCACGTTAGTTTTTACGAAGGCTGGAACAACAAAAGGAATTCCCCAACAAAATCATTCAGGGCCCGCTTAGAGAAGGTTGGCTGCCTGAACTAATAATTAACTAAACCCAGTCGAAATCGTTTAAACTACTCCGTGTCTCAGAAAAAAAAAACTGATGTTTTAGTTTTATCATAAACCAAACTATTCAAACTTGTTATAAACTATCTAAAGGTTTTAGTTTTTTTCAAAGTCAAACTATGTCTTAAACTAAGACTTCATAATGATCTACTGACCACTCTTTGTTTCAAAATACTAAGCACTTTACATTTACGGAAACCCACTTTCCTATTTTAAATGTTTTTGAAACATGTAAAGGAAAACCTTAGACCATGTTTGGTTTGATATATAAGGATTAAGGGCATTGACCGAACAAGTCCAGAGGCATGCATTTTGATCATTTTTATTCTGGAAAAGTGGATCACATGCACCTTGATAACAGTGAATGGTGCTGAGTAAGAAAATACTATACTCCTACCCCAGATCCCAAATTACGTCAACTCAGATAATTTTATCAGCAATATTCACACGATAAGCCATGGCCATATTGTACCAATACCCTATGCTATCATTTCAGTATCCTATAACAAAATATTGATCACCTTTTAGTAAAAACATAAAGTTGTATGATCATAATGTTGGCCAACATCTTTTGTAAATACTTGACACTTTTGATCTGACTACTCTTTGTTTCAAAATAGTCAGCACTTTACGTTTGCAGAAACCCACTTTCCTATTTTAGTCTTAGGAAAACATGCGAGGTAAATGTTCTGGAAACGTGTAAAATTGGTCGGTTTGGTGAGGATTCGAGGGGATGGACCGATCAAGTTCAAGAACTCACTCCCTCCGTCCCAAAATATCTGTCGTTCTCGCTTCTCGAGTAATAACTTTGACAAAATATATATTTAAAAATATTAATATTTATGATACATAATTGGTATCATTGAAAAGATCTTTGAATCTAGTTTTTAATAAATTTATTTAGAGATACAAATATTGCACATATTTTTTATAAATCGAGTCAAACTTACGTGATGAAAACCAAAAGCGACAGAGAATTTGGTACAGAGAGAGTATGCATTTTGATCATTTTTATTCTGGAAAAGTGGATCACACGTTGATAACAGTGAATGTTGCCGAGTACAGTAAGAAATACAATACTCCTACGTCAGATCCCAAATTACTTCAACTCGATCATTTTTGTCGGTCTATCACATTATCACACACGGTGAGCCGGATCCAGCATATCCGGTCCACGTGAAGCACATGCCGACGAGGGGGCCCCGCGAATAGTGAAAATAATAATGGGTCCCTTTTTATATTAGGTTAAAACCGGTAAAAAATGAAATCAGGTTGGTTACCGTGAGATTGACCAATCACAAGTAGGTTAAAACCGGTAAAAAAAACACCCATTTCGCGCGGCAAATAGTGCCCAGGACCACAGTCAATTGACAGAGACAGGCTGATACCGATAGTTATTACCCGTACTATTACATCGATCCGACCATCCGGGACACACTGCTAGCTGGCGGCCTGCGAAGGGCCAGTTTGGATGCTAAAATTTTTGGCAAAGCGCTAGTGTTTTTGTTGTTATTTAATAATTAGTATTTAATTATAGTTTAATTAGGCTTAAAAGATTTGTCTCGTGGATTTCGTTCAAACTATGTAATTAGTTTTATTTTTTATTTATATTTAATATTTTATACATGCGTCTAAATATTCAATGTGACGAAGAATCTTAAAAAATTTGGTATTTTGAATGCAACTAAACAGGGCCAAAACCCAAAAGGCCGTCGTCAGTGCAGGAGAATGCCGCGACTCTGAGTACTTTTGGAGTTGATGCCCTCCGTGCAACAAGCACAGACACACTAATGTTGTTGTTCAGGTGTGCCTAATGTTGTTCAAGTGCGTGTCACTTGATCCATAACGGTTCCGGAGCAGCTTTTGGCCTAGCGGCGGGTGTGTCACTTAAATCCATAACGGTTCGGAAGCTGGCGTTCGGCCTACATGGCGTCGGTGACGTGGCGCTGACTATGCCACTGCACAAGCGAGGAGCGCGTGCAGACAGACACTCTTCTTCGAGAAAATTCCTTGATGGCCACTTAAATCTATACCAATCTCTTCACTGCTATCCAAAATTAAGAGCTCCCTTCGTTGCCATCCGTTCTAATTTTTTCGTTCCTTCGTTGCCACTACGGTTACACAGTAGTCACGGCGTGACTTTAGTGCTCATACCCGACGTCCAGGAACAATCCGACGGTTCAAAGAAAAGGTTGTTTTCAGTATCCAGCTTCGCATCGCTATCCGACCACCTCACGCGTGCTTCACCTGGCGCTCGACGGGCTCGCGCTGTCCGGCCGCATGCCCCAGGGCCTCGACCGCCTTCCCGTGCTCCAGGACCTCTCCCTCGCCCGCAACAACCTCTCCGGCGCGCTCCCGCAGGGCCTCTCCCTCCTCGCCTCCCTCCGTTCGCTCGACTCTCCTACAACGCCTTCTCCGGCGCGCTCCCCGACGACGTCGCGCTCCTCGCCTCCCTCCGCTACCTCGACCTCACCGGCAACGCCTTCTCCGCCCGCTCCTCACGGCTTCCCGCCCCACGCCCGGTTCTGGTCCTATCCGGCAACCCGTTCTCCGCCCCGTCTTTGGAGGGGTCATGCGGCAAGAGCCCGCCTCTGCTCCACCTCAACGTGTCCGGCAAACCATCTCTCGGCTCGCCCGACTTCGCCGGCCGCTCTCGGCGCTTGAGCGCTTATGCGCGCCGACCTGTCACACAACCAGCTTCTGGGGCCCGTCACCGATGGCATTGCCAGGCTCCACAACCTCAAGACCCTCAGCCTTAGCGGCAACCGGTTCGGCGCCATCCCGGCGGACATCGGCCTGTGCCCGCACCTCAGCACCATTGATCTTCGGCACCGTCCCGACGTCCCCGCTTGGCTCGGCAAAAGTCGCCGCGCAGCACACTGGACTTATCCGACAACGCGCTCACCGGAAGCTTGCCGGACTTCGCTTCAGCGACCTCAAGGCGCTCAAGTACACGAGATCGCCCAGAACCAGGCTCTCGGGATCGCCCCGCCTCCACGCCCATGTCGAGAACGCTGGCGAGCAAGGCGACGGAGATCGGGCGCGGCGCGTTCGGCATGGTGTACCGCATGCCCGTGGGCAACGGGCGAGTGGTGGCGGTGAAGAAGCTGGTGGCGGCGAACATGGTGCGGTCGCGCGAGGAGTTCAAGCGGGAGGTGCGCGCGTCTTTGAGAAGGCCGGCGCGGCACCAACTCGCTTTGCGGCTCAAGGCTACTACTCTTGGGCGCCGCAGCTTGCGTACTGCCGATCACGGACTACGCGGCGCACGACATACTGAGGCGCGGCTCCACTGGCGCCGGGCAATGGGCGGAGTTGCCGCCGATGACGTGGGAGGAGCGGTTCCGCGTGGTGTCCGGAACGTCCCGGCGCCAAGACCGCACCAGCGTCCCGGCCGCCGCCGGTCCCCTACAACGTGAAGCCGAGCAACATCTTCCTTGAATACGCGGAGTGCAACCCGGCGGTGGCGACTTGGGCTGGCCGCGCGGCTGCTGCTGGGAAGCTGGCGAACGGCGGCGCGGCATGCGGCAAATGGTTCCAGCGGCCGGCGGGATGGGGTACGTTCTTGCCGCCGAGTCGGGCGTGCGAGCTCGCGCGTGAACGAAGAAGCGACATCTACGGGCTGGGCGTGCTGATCCTGGAGCTAGTGACGGGGCGGCGCGCCATGGAGTACGGGGACGACGACGTGGTGGTGCTCATGGACCAAGTGTGCGTCCTGCTTGAGCACGGCAACGCGTTGGAGTGCGTGGACCTGGGCATGGGCGGTCAAGTCCCGGAGGAGGAGGTGCTACCGGTGCTCAAGCTGGGCATGGTGTGCACGTCGCAGATCCCGTCCAACCGGCCCTCCATGGCGGAGGTGGTCTAGATCCTGCAGGTCATCAAGGCGCCCATGGGCGACGGCAGAATGGAAGCCTCCTTCTGATCCATCCTGACTGTCAGTCACGAGTCACGACCAACCAACCAACCAACGTCCGGCCGCCGTGTGCAGCGGTGAGTCGCTCTTGTGCAGCGATAAAACAATGGCCATACAGAGGAGCTTATAACACCGTTAGTCTAAAATTGACGGAATGACAATAAAGGGAAGAAAAAATCTACTTGGATGGCGACGAAGGGATGAGATAATTTTGAATGGTAACGAAGGGATTGTTATATTTTTCGATGGCAATCAAGGAATTTTCTCCTCTTCTTTCTCATTTCTAGCTCCACACGGGCACATAGTCAGCGCCACGTAGACACACCTTATCGTAAGCCTAATAAAAGCCCGTCGTCAGTGCAGGAAAATGCCACAGCCGGAAAAAATCGTATGCACTCGTAGATAAGCCGTCGTGCAGCGCCCTGCACTCATCACAACCGTCCAAATTAGATGCAGATCCAACTCGTATGCGTGATGAAGTTGTCACGGCCGAAAACGCCAGGCGGTGCGCTGTGGAGGAGCATCCGAGTGTCCATCAGGTTGCATCAACAACGATGTGCTGCACGGGAAGCACTTTTGGAGTTTGATGCCCTCCGTGCAACACGCGCGGACTATTTTAAGTTTTTTTTAGCCTTGATTAGTTCTAAAGTTTTGATTATCACATCGGCCATAAGATGTAACGTGAGGTGTTCGGATATTAATAAAAAACAAATTATAGAATCCGTCGGTAAACCACGAGACGAATTTATTAACCCTAATTAATCCACTATTAGCACATGTATTACTGTAGCACTTTATAGCTAAATCATAAACTAATTAGGTTTAAAA